AAAAATTTTAAAATTCTATCTAAGAGGCTAGGGAGTACGGGAACAGAAACTAACAAAAATTGTCAAAAATATATATCAACCCCAATAATGGCATATTATCCACCCAGAAACTGACAGTCATGCTACTACTTTTTATTCGCCCATATTTCCGGTACCTCCCTCAAAAAGTGTCAACATTTTGAATAATAGTGAAAATTTAAAATGTGTATCCGATTTTGATCAAACTTAAAGGCTAGGATTTTGAAATTGTTCATGTAGGTAGTTGTAAGTTAGTACGGATGAGATAAGATAGGTTTAGTACTACAACTTACAAAAACAAGGTTTCATACCCTCCACCTTGGAAATAAGGGTATATAAAATTTGTCATTCCGTTTGTAACAGCTCTAGATATTAGTCATAGACCCCATAAAGTATATATATTCATGATCAGCATAAAATGCTAAATTAATTTAACAATGTTCGTCTGTCTGTATGTCCGTCTGTTAAATCACGATACAGCTCACATTAATTGACATATAGTGTTATAAAATTTGGCACTTTTTTTGCTTTGTGCCTAGGATGGTTGGTATTGAAAATGAGATATATCGGTCCACGTTTTTGCATAGCCCCAAATAACAGCACCTCCCGATATTCGGTATTTTGACAAAAATTGGTATTTGTGGTTCATTATGGGTACTTGCTCTAATGACGGAACATTGTACATATAGATCCAATTTTATATACAGTATAGCTCCCATATAACGGTACCTCACGACATTGGGTATTTTAATGGCTTTAGCCACATTTTCCCACGGATTTGTCTTAAAATTGGTATTTGTAGTTCGATATGGGTTTTAGCTCTGGTGGCGAAACATTGAATATCTAGGTCTATGTTTTCCTGTAGCGCATATACACGGTGAGATGAAAAACTGCAACCAACTTCAGACTGCTGTCATTCTCAAGCCACTCGTCCGACAGCTGTTAAAGTTATTGCAGTGGACCGATTTTTCCCATCTCCGAAATCGGTCTAAGTTTGACCATAATATTACGATGTTAAAAATTTGGACCAAATCGAATACTCCCTTCTTGAGTTATCGTGCGCACCTAGGGTTTAAAACCAAACCAGCCATATGGCTGAGGGTATAAAAAATACAGATAATACTAAATATCTGTATTTTTATATCAATGGGATCAATGTTTCTTTGACAATTAAAATAAGAGTATTTATTTCTTTTTTCTACCCAACGTTTTGGTGGGATTTTTCCAACTATTGTCTCGGAAAGTGCCACCACTTCTTATCAACAAATGCCCCTGGTTTTTGTCTGGGGATATTCTTGTTCTCATTCATATATTTTGTTATTTTAATCAATTTTCAAAAATATAAAATTAGCACATAAATTACTTAATTTGTTTTATTCAAAAATAATATTTTTTAAAAAGAATTCTGAACTCTAATTTTTAAAAATTAGTCTACATGGCATCTCTAAAATCGGTTGCAACGAACTTGCATGTCTGTATCAAACCCAACATTTACTGGGTTCATTTCTTACAACAAGCTACATCTCTGCCAGCAATCTATTTGATCTGCTCAGTTGGATATTTGAGCTCGCTTTTGCCGGTTGATTTAGCTGTACCGCGAAATTAGTGTCTGTATTCCCTTAGAGAAATACAAAATACTACCTATTAGCTACTAGCTACACAAGAACAAGAAACACAACAAATAAGAAATCGTAAATTATTATACAAAGTGCGCTTTTGTGTATTAATTAAAACTAATTTATACTATAAAGAAATAAGAAAAAAGAAACAAAATTGTCGTCGGTCGAAAAGAAAGTACGAACTAAAGAACAGAATTTTTGAATTCTCCAAAGATAGGAATAGAAAGGAAAATAAGAATATATTCAACAAAAATTTAGAACAAAATTTCAGTGAAGTGTGACAAAAACATTGTGTTTCATTTTCAAAAAGATTTCAAAATTTTTATTGTGTTTATATAATTACAATTTGCGTGAGCAGTTGCATTAGAACAGGTACATTTTAATTTATCATGTATAATGAACAATGAAATGTTAGTACATATGGGTTCCGGTATATTTTATCATGTCAATCAGCTTTTTTGTGGCGCTAAAAACGCTATAGATCGACCTTGCATGTAGTTTGCAATAGCAGTATGAAAAACGTAATTACAGGAAAAGAAAGCTTCTTAACGGTATCATAACAAAAATTATTTGTCGTAAATTTTATTATAGGAATTAAATATTTAAAACTTAATATACAGGGTGAGATAAAAAAAACTGCAACAAAGTCAAACGTCATGATTTTTACATTTTCTTTTAAATTTTGTTGAATGAATGATGAAAAATGTCGGAAATAGCATCAAATTTTAGAATAAGTTTGGATTTGTTCGAATTGGTTACCTTTGGCACGAATTATGGCCTTTAAACGGTCAATGAAACCGTCACACGATGCCCGAATGTTGCTTTGCGGTATTGTGCCCCATTTCAGGCGAAGCGCTTGCTTGAGGTGATCGACACTTTGGCATTTTTTAGTGCCAACCTTGCTTTCCAAACTACTCAAGACCCAATAGTCCAAGGGATTGCTATCCGGAGAATTTGGCGGCCATTGTGCGCTGGAAATGAAGCGAGAGACCTCATTTTGTAACCATTCTTGGGCGCGTGCTGAGTGCGATAGTGCGGAGTCCTGTTGGAGTGTCCAAGGGCTGCTGCCAAAATATTTGCGTGCCCAATGCTTTAACGACCTCTAGAATATGTTCGCGGTAATATTCGGCATTTATTCTGATGCCACGGGCGATTAATAAGAGCGGAGAGCGACCATCGGCCCACACCATCACCACGACCGGCGCTTGAGTTCTGGTGGCCAAAGGTGCCGAAGGTTCACATTTTCAGCTGACCTCTTTGGCAAGTAAACACGATCATTTTGTTTGTTTACAAACTGCTGGACAACGAATGTTTTCTCATCGGAGAAAGCCACATTCGGCAGTTCACCACTTTCGGCCAAGCTAAGCAATTCTTTAGCTCTTTTGAGTCGATTTTCTTTCTGGTGCGGCGTAAGTTCTTGCACTTTTTATACCCTCCACCATAGTATGGAAGGTATATTATATTCTGTTTATAACACCTCGAAATATACATTTTAAACCCCACAAAGTATATATATTCTTTATCAGCATAAAATTCTATGTAGATTTAGCGATGCCCGTCGGTATATCCGTTTGTCCGTCTGTGAAAATCACTCTAGCTTCCGAACTAATTAAAGTAGATTGATAAAATTTTACTCAAGAGTCTTTTGGTATTGAAAATGGGCCATGTAGGTCCACGTCTTGGTATAGCCCCCATATAAAGGTACCTCCCGATATTCGGTACTTTGTTGATTTAAGCGACATTTTTCACTGGAATTCTTTCAAATTAGGTATTTGATGTTCTTAATGGATATTACAGCCAACGACAGAAAGTTGTCTGTGCAGATCCACGTCTTCGTATAGCCCCCGTATAACGGTACCTCCCGATATTTGGTATTTTGATGATTTTAGCTACATTATTCATAGATTTTTTTTAAGTTTCGCATTTGAATATTGTAATGGCTTATGTCAAAATTAAATGTAACAGCCACACTCGGTATTTTTAAGATTTTAACAGAATTTTTAAGGGATTTTATTGTTTTTGAGCATTGCCAAATTCGTTCCAAAGTTAGGCCCAGCCAAACATGCAGCTTTTTTACTTGTTGGAATTTCAATGAAGCTCATTTTTCAATATTTGCCCAATGAAATATTGCGATATGTTCAGCTCACGAGCCATTTTTCGGCTACTGCGACACGGGTTTCCATCAAGTCGCTTCTGAACTTTTCGAAATATTTCTGCTGATGTTGCTGTTTTCTTCTGTCCACTTCCTTGATGTCGGGCTACGCTACCAGTATCACGGTAACGAGCGATGGTACGAGACACAAAATATTTATTCACATTTAAATGCTGTAGTGCTCTAACGATAGCCACTTGTGGTTTTCCGGACAAATATAAAGAAATCCCACTATCACGCTTGAATTCCATCACGAATAACTTTTTTTCTGGAAAATACTCAACAAAATGTTTTTGTACGCTTATAAACCATATAATGTGCTGTCACTGGAATAAATTTAGCAGCTGTCGGACGAGTGGGTTAGAAATGACAGCAGTCTGAAGTTGGTTGCAGTTTCCTCATCTTACCCTGTATATGTAGTGTTAAGGTGGCATGAGTTTACACAGAACTAGCAAGTCCCCTCTAGAATTTGATGCTATTTGCGACGTTAATAAAACTTAAAAAATAAATAAAACTAAAAAAATGTATAAAGTTTGCGTTTGACTTTATTGCAGTTTTTTATCTCACATTGAATATACACTCTTTATTTTTTTTATTCTAAATGAAGAATGTAGAAAATGAAATTGGTGCACAATACGGGTTTAAATGCTGATTTTTCCTGAGAACATCATTCAAACAAATACTATTGTTAAGAAAAATTTGGTCCTGCATATATAATTTTTTGTCATAGACTCTGGGACCCATTATGATCTTTAAACAATTCCGGTGAATAATGACGCTAATAACATCAAAATACTGAATATTTGGAGATACCGTTATATGGTGGCTATACGGAGACGTGGACCTGCAAACGATTTTTTTTTGTCATAGGCTGCAGTACCCTTTACAAACTTTAAATACAAGAATTTGAAAAAAAAAATAGGCAAATAATGCCCCTAAAAATATCTCAATACGTTCGAAAGATAGCGTGATTATGACAAACAGACAGACTGACATCGCTTAATAGACTTGGAATATTAAGCAGATCCAGGGTTATGAGTATTTCGAGGAGTTACAAATGGAATGGCGCAGTGTATAAAAATGCCCGACATAGCTGTATGGGCTCATATCAAATCGTTGACCTACTTCTTTCACATGGCAATACTTCGTCTAATGAAAACAATTAATATAAGCAATGTTTTCCTCTTCGCAGGAAAAATTTCGGGCCCGCGGACCGAGTCAGCTTGTTGTCTATAATAAATGTTTTTATTAATAGCTTAATTGCAATTATCCTATTTATGGTATAACCGAATTAACTAAATGTCAACCCGTGCTTAACTTGATGGAAATAGACACATTTCTATGACAACATTGCCTTAATTAATTTACCTCGCAAAATCATTACATTTCTCTTGACGCAATCAGCCATTGAAATTAAAAGCGTATAAATACTTCAAACATTTGTGGACAAGAAATTCAGTTACCACTTGGGAATGGAGGAAATCGAATATCTGCATTATCGGCCGAATCAAAACCAAAACCAGAACTTCTGCCAATTCATACATATTTGAAAGTAAATTTGAAAAGATTTCTGCTGGAAACATCTTTGAATGGTTTAAAATACGTTACGATCCGGAGCGGAATATGTGGGAAAGGTAAAATCGAACTAAATTTATTACGCAAAATTTTAACTGGAATTGTTTTAGAGGCTACTACCTGATATCGTTTACAATTGTTTTTTCCTCGGGCATCTTTATGGCCTACTATTTCCTCGAGAAATGGCAGAGCACGCCCGTCATCATCAGCATGAGTTCGCGGACAACAGCGATTCAAGATATACCCTTTCCGACCGTCACTTTTTGCAATATGAATCAGGCACTGCGCAGCAAAGTGGGAAAATTTCCAATGTAAGTTATGGGGTTATAGGAAAGAATTTTAAAATTAATGTCTTCATGTTGTCTTGTTAGAGATTCTCCCGACTATGCCCTGTTGCAAAAATTGTGTTTTCAAAAATACAATTATACACGTTTTCGTGATTTTGAGCCGCGCTATGATGGCGATACATTTGCAAATTTTATAATAAGGGTATGTGCCAATTTTCACTCAACTCCTATTTTTGTTTGGATCCTTAAATCGATTCTATTTTTGTAGAATGCCCAAACGTGTGATGATATGATCATATATTGTAAATTCGGCCCCAACGTGTTTAAATGCACAGATTTATTTCGTGAAGTTCTTTTGGATGAGGGCATGTGCTGTGTATTCAATCAAATGCATCCGTATTTTTTATTCAAAGGAGAGTAAGTTCTGAGGAATGCATATTTATATCCTACAACACTAGGTGTTGGGGGTGATATCAGTTTGATTGGGCCACAAATTATGTAACACCTAGAAAAATTGGTCCCCGACATGGGAAACTATATATATAATTCTTCCTATCTCGCCGAGTTGAGTCGATCTACCTATGTATGTCCGTCCGTCCGCCTGTCCATGTTAATTTGTAGTCAACCCGAAAGCCCGATACTCACTAAATTGGACATTGGGTCAGAATATATGATTGGAGATGATCGCAAAATATTCAGGGGTTAAAATGGACCTATACGAAGACCTGGCCCTGCATAGACAATTTTCTGTCACAGACTGTACTTCCCATTACGAATTCTAAATACGTAATTTAAAATAATTCCGGTTAATAATGTCGCTAAAATCGTCAAAATACCGAATATAGGGAGGTACCGTTATATGGAGGCTATACGAAAACATGGACCTGCATAGACAATTTTCTGCTTTAAATAAATTCGCTAAAATAATCAAAATACCGAATATCGAGAGGTACCGTTATATGGGGGCTCTACGAAGGCGTGGACCTGCACAGACAATTTTCTGTCTTAGGCTGTAGTATCCATCATGAACTTCAAATAAAAAATTTGAAACAATTCCGGTGAATAAACTCGCTAAAATCATCAAAATACCGAATATCGGGAAGTACCGTTATATGGGGCTATACGAAGGCGTGGACCTGCACAGGCAATTTTCTATCATAGGCTGAAGTATCCATTACGAACTTCAAATACCAAATTTGAAACAATTCTGATGAAAAATGTCCATAAAATCATTAAAATGCCGAATATCGGGAGGTACCGTTATATGGAGGCTCTACGAAGACCTGGACCTGCACAGACAATTTTCTGTCTTAGGCTGTAGTATCCATCATGAACTTCAAATAAAAAATTTGAAACAATTCCGGTGAATAAACTCGCTAAAATCATCAAAATACCGAATATCGGGAAGTACCGTTATATGGGGCTATACGAAGGCGTGGACCTGCACAGGCAATTTTCTATCATAGGCTGAAGTATCCATTACGAACTTCAAATACCAAATTTGAAACAATTCTGATGAAAAATGTCCATAAAATCATTAAAATGCCGAATATCGGGAGGTACCGTTATATGGAGGCTCTACGAAGACCTGGACCTGCACAGATAATTTTCTGTCTTGGGCTGTAGTATCCATTTCGAACTTCAAATACCAAATTTGAAACAATTCCGGTGAATAATTTCGCTAAAATCATCAAAATACCGAATATCGGGAGGTACCGTTATATGGGGGCTCTACGAAAACGTGGACCTGCACAGACAATTTTCTGTCATAGGCAAAGTGGGAAAATTTCCAATGTAAGTTATGGGGTTATAGGAAAGAATTTTAAAATTAATGTCTTCATGTTGTCTTGTTAGAGATTCTCCCGACTATGCCCTGTTGCAAAAATTGTGTTTTCAAAAATACAATTATACACGTTTTCGTGATTTTGAGCCGCGCTATGATGGCGATACATTTGCAAATTTTATAATAAGGGTATGTGCCAATTTTCACTCAACTCCTATTTTTGTTTGGATCCTTAAATCGATTCTATTTTTGTAGAATGCCCAAACGTGTGATGATATGATCATATATTGTAAATTCGGCCCCAACGTGTTTAAATGCACAGATTTATTTCGTGAAGTTCTTTTGGATGAGGGCATGTGCTGTGTATTCAATCAAATGCATCCGTATTTTTTATTCAAAGGAGAGTAAGTTCTGAGGAATGCATATTTATATCCTACAACACTAGGTGTTGGGGGTGATATCAGTTTGATTGGGCCACAAATTATGTAACACCTAGAAAAATTGGTCCCCGACATGGGAAACTATATATATAATTCTTCCTATCTCGCCGAGTTGAGTCGATCTACCTATGTATGTCCGTCCGTCCGCCTGTCCATGTTAATTTGTAGTCAACCCGAAAGCCCGATACTCACTAAATTGGACATTGGGTCAGAATATATGATTGGAGATGATCGCAAAATATTCAGGGGTTAAAATGGACCTATACGAAGACCTGGCCCTGCATAGACAATTTTCTGTCACAGACTGTACTTCCCATTACGAATTCTAAATACGTAATTTAAAATAATTCCGGTTAATAATGTCGCTAAAATCGTCAAAATACCGAATATAGGGAGGTACCGTTATATGGAGGCTATACGAAAACATGGACCTGCATAGACAATTTTCTGCTTTAAATAAATTCGCTAAAATAATCAAAATACCGAATATCGAGAGGTACCGTTATATGGGGGCTCTACGAAGGCGTGGACCTGCACAGACAATTTTCTGTCTTAGGCTGTAGTATCCATCATGAACTTCAAATAAAAAATTTGAAACAATTCCGGTGAATAAACTCGCTAAAATCATCAAAATACCGAATATCGGGAAGTACCGTTATATGGGGCTATACGAAGGCGTGGACCTGCACAGGCAATTTTCTATCATAGGCTGAAGTATCCATTACGAACTTCAAATACCAAATTTGAAACAATTCTGATGAAAAATGTCCATAAAATCATTAAAATGCCGAATATCGGGAGGTACCGTTATATGGAGGCTCTACGAAGACCTGGACCTGCACAGACAATTTTCTGTCTTAGGCTGTAGTATCCATCATGAACTTCAAATAAAAAATTTGAAACAATTCCGGTGAATAAACTCGCTAAAATCATCAAAATACCGAATATCGGGAAGTACCGTTATATGGGGCTATACGAAGGCGTGGACCTGCACAGGCAATTTTCTATCATAGGCTGAAGTATCCATTACGAACTTCAAATACCAAATTTGAAACAATTCTGATGAAAAATGTCCATAAAATCATTAAAATGCCGAATATCGGGAGGTACCGTTATATGGAGGCTCTACGAAGACCTGGACCTGCACAGATAATTTTCTGTCTTGGGCTGTAGTATCCATTTCGAACTTCAAATACCAAATTTGAAACAATTCCGGTGAATAATTTCGCTAAAATCATCAAAATACCGAATATCGGGAGGTACCGTTATATGGGGGCTCTACGAAAACGTGGACCTGCACAGACAATTTTCTGTCATAGGCAAAGTGGGAAAATTTCCAATGTAAGTTATGGGGTTATAGGAAAGAATTTTAAAATTAATGTCTTCATGTTGTCTTGTTAGAGATTCTCCCGACTATGCCCTGTTGCAAAAATTGTGTTTTCAAAAATACAATTATACACGTTTTCGTGATTTTGAGCCGCGCTATGATGGCGATACATTTGCAAATTTTATAATAAGGGTATGTGCCAATTTTCACTCAACTCCTATTTTTGTTTGGATCCTTAAATCGATTCTATTTTTGTAGAATGCCCAAACGTGTGATGATATGATCATATATTGTAAATTCGGCCCCAACGTGTTTAAATGCACAGATTTATTTCGTGAAGTTCTTTTGGATGAGGGCATGTGCTGTGTATTCAATCAAATGCATCCGTATTTTTTATTCAAAGGAGAGTAAGTTCTGAGGAATGCATATTTATATCCTACAACACTAGGTGTTGGGGGTGATATCAGTTTGATTGGGCCACAAATTATGTAACACCTAGAAAAATTGGTCCCCGACATGGGAAACTATATATAATTCTTCCTATCTCGCCGAGTTGAGTCGATCTACCTATGTATGTCCGTCCGTCCGCCTGTCCATGTTAATTTGTAGTCAACCCGAAAGCCCGATACTCACTAAATTGGACATTGGGTCAGAATATATGATTGGAGATGATCGCAAAATATTCAGGGGTTAAATGGACCTATACGAAGACCTGGCCCTGCATAGACAATTTTCTGTCACAGACTGTACTTCCCATTACGAATTCTAAATACGTAATTTAAAATAATTCCGGTTAATAATGTCGCTAAAATCGTCAAAATACCGAATATAGGGAGGTACCGTTATATGGAGGCTATACGAAAACATGGACCTGCATAGACAATTTTCTGCTTTAAATAAATTCGCTAAAATAATCAAAATACCGAATATCGAGAGGTACCGTTATATGGGGGCTCTACGAAGGCGTGGACCTGCACAGACAATTTTCTGTCTTAGGCTGTAGTATCCATCATGAACTTCAAATAAAAAATTTGAAACAATTCCGGTGAATAAACTCGCTAAAATCATCAAAATACCGAATATCGGGAAGTACCGTTATATGGGGCTATACGAAGGCGTGGACCTGCACAGGCAATTTTCTATCATAGGCTGAAGTATCCATTACGAACTTCAAATACCAAATTTGAAACAATTCTGATGAAAAATGTCCATAAAATCATTAAAATGCCGAATATCGGGAGGTACCGTTATATGGAGGCTCTACGAAGACCTGGACCTGCACAGACAATTTTCTGTCTTAGGCTGTAGTATCCATCATGAACTTCAAATAAAAAATTTGAAACAATTCCGGTGAATAAACTCGCTAAAATCATCAAAATACCGAATATCGGGAAGTACCGTTATATGGGGCTATACGAAGGCGTGGACCTGCACAGGCAATTTTCTATCATAGGCTGAAGTATCCATTACGAACTTCAAATACCAAATTTGAAACAATTCTGATGAAAAATGTCCATAAAATCATTAAAATGCCGAATATCGGGAGGTACCGTTATATGGAGGCTCTACGAAGACCTGGACCTGCACAGATAATTTTCTGTCTTGGGCTGTAGTATCCATTTCGAACTTCAAATACCAAATTTGAAACAATTCCGGTGAATAATTTCGCTAAAATCATCAAAATACCGAATATCGGGAGGTACCGTTATATGGGGGCTCTACGAAAACGTGGACCTGCACAGGCAATTTTCTGTCTAAGGCTGTAGTATCAATTTTGAATTTCAAATACCAAATTTGAAACAATTCCAGTGAATAATTTCGCTAAAATCATCAAAATACCGAATATCGGTATTTTGTCTACCTGCATAGACAATTTTCTGTCATAGGCTGAAGTATCCATTACGTATTTCAAATACCAAATTTGAAACAATTCTGGTGAAAAATGTCCATAAAATCATTAAAATACCGAATATAGGGCGGTACCGTTATATGGAGGCTATATGAAGACGTGGACCTGCACAGACAATTTTCTGTCTTAGGCTGTAGTATTCATTTAGAACTTCAAATACAAAATTTGAAACAATTCCGATGAATAAATTCGCTAAAATCATCAAAATACCGAATATCGGGAGGTACCGTTATATGGGGGCTATACGAAGACCTGGACCTGCACAGACAATTTTCTGTCATAGGCTGAAGTATTCATTACGAACTTCAAATACCAAATTTGAAACAATTCTGATGAAAAATGTCCATAAAATCATTAAAATACCGAATATCGGGAGGTACCGTTATATGGGGGCTATATAAAAACGTGGACCTACATGGCCCATTTTCATCACCAAGAGTCCTGCGGACATAACATACATTTGAGCAAAATTTTATCAATCTACTTCAATTCGTTCGGAAGCTAGAGTGATTTCCACAGACGGATAGACGGACGGACATCGCTAAATCGACATAGAATTTTATTCCCATCAAGAATGTGGGGTCTAAAATGTGTATTTCGAGGTGTTACAACCGGAATGACAAACTTAATATACCCTCCATACTATTTTCGTTCGTTCATACTAAATTCGTTCAGTCTCAAATTTATTCGAGATTACACTTCGACAAATGGTCGTACAACAATACCAATCAACTGGAGTATAGAAAATGGTTACCCAAAGCCACTGCCGAAGAATTTCTACCCACGTCCGGCATTAGGAACTGGGGTGTCTATGGGACTGCAAGTGGTATTAAATGCTAGTGTAAATGATTATTACTGCAGTTCTACAAATGGAGCGGGTTTCAAGGTATCAAACAAAATGAAGACTACTCATAATTTTATTCCGACATTATTCGAATTTCTTCGAAGATGCTCTTGTATAATCCGGTTGATTCGCCGCACATTAAAGACACTGGTTTGCCCATAACACTGGGCCATCAAACCCGAGTTCGTATAAAGGCCAGTAGAATGGAATCGGCACAAAGTTTGCGCAATGTAAGACCCAGAGATCGCCAATGCTATTTCAGCGATGAGAAGCAATTGCAATATTTCAAATATTATACCCGGCGTAATTGTGAAATGGAATGTGATGCCGAGTTTGTACTCAGTGTGTGTGGGTGTATACCATACTATATGGCCATGGTGCAGAGAAATGCGAGTGTTTGTTTTCTCAAGGATATGGAATGTGTTGAATGGTCTGAACGATATTTGGTGGCTTCGATTACACAATCATGCAAGCAACAATGTTTGGCCGGATGTCAGGAAATACTTTTCTTTCCTGATTTATTTGTATCGCCATTGGCGAGGAGAAATTACAGCCTATTGGATCCCTACTATTCGAATATATCCTCCGATGTTATGAAACGAGATTTGGCCCAGGTGCAAATTTACTACAAAGAGAATTTCTTTCGTGGCAATACTAAGGTGCCATATACGGGGTTTACGGAGTTTTTGTGTAAGATTTGTAAAATAACTTTCAAATATGTATTTAAAACAAAGATATATTTTAAGCTCAAACCGGTGGCATCATGAGCCTTATGGTTGGTTTCAGTGTCATCTCCGTGGCGGAGTTTTTCTATTTTGGGTTTTTGAAATCTCTCTGTGATATGCTACTTCGCCGGTGGCCTCAGAAAATGGATACGAAAGACGATCTGGAGGAGAATTTGGGGGATGATAGTGAAGAGACTTCAATGGATAGAATACACAATCAGATGTTATTGAACCGACGCAAAACAATACACAATCCTTTAATGGTTTGGCATGACTTGGAGCAATACCAAGATAAATTTTAATTAAAATTATTGTAAAAATTGAAAGTGAGAAAGTCCTATTTTTTGTAAATTGTTATGGGTTTTTAAGAAGGAATTTAAATAAAAAATAGAAGCACATTTAATTTAAAAAAAAAAAAAACAAGATAAAAGATATCAGTCGGTTCTGCCGACAGATGTATAGACTTGCCCAATGTTTGATTATACACATATAATTTGACTTCTGTTATGATTATTCAAACTGTTGACCCTCCATGGAGTTGGTTCTGAAGGAATTTTTCAATATTGTCCATTTCGTATCGGACCTAAATAAATATGATATATTTTGTTGTTGTTCAAAATGGTCCGGCTTAATCCAATTATTGCTGTTTTTATAAAAACAACGTTTGTTTATTAGTGGAGAACGATGGTAATTTTTACCAGGGGGTAAGGCAGGGAAAACCTATGTTTAGGAATCCGTGAAAAAATGTGACAAAAACCATTAAAATACCGAATATCGGGAGATACCTTTATATGGGGGCTATACCAAAGCGTGGATCTATACATACGATGTTTCGCCACACGAACCAATTCTCAGACAAATTCGTAAAAAAATGTGGCAAAAATCATCAAAATACCGAATATCGGGAGGTACCGTTACATGGGGGTTATACCAAAACGTGGACCTATACATGCAATGTTTCGCCACCGGAGCTAGAACCCACTATGACCAACAAATACCAATTTTTAGACAAATCCATGAAAAAATGCGGCAAAAATCATCAAAATACCGAATATCGGGAGGTACTGTTATATGGGGACTATACTAAAACGTGGACCGATATAAGTCATTTTCAATACCCACCATCCTAGACACAATACAAATTATTCTGCTAAATTTTGGCACTCTACGTCAAACAATATTTAGACACGTTACAAACGGAATGACAAAGTTAATATACCCTCCTTTCCAAGGTGGAGGGTATAAAAATCTATCGAATTTGCGCTGATATTACATATATGGTGAGCAATAACCTTAAAATAGAATGAAGATGTTTATCGAAGGATCATAAAAATCTAAACTGATAAAGGTACATATGGGAGCTATATTCAAATCTAAACCGATCTTGACAAAATTTTAGGCACTTATTTCTGAGCTCTATCTGGTATATTGTACAAAAGATCATTTCTATTGAGTGTCGGATGTCGGATGAAACATACATATGGGAGCTATAGCTCTATCTTAACCGATTTACACCAAATTTGATGACTTGCTTCTAAACTGGATTCGGTCGGATATGGAAAAAATCAGGTTATTTGGACTGATATTGGGTGCACAATTAACCCAAAATCGGTTGAAGATATATATGGTAACTATATTTAAATTTGAACCTATTCTCACCGATGGGGAGGATGGGAGAGGTTCCCGAAGGAATGGACTGATTTCTACCATCTTTGTAACAGATCTTGAATGTAAGTCTGAATGTAATCGGATGCTAATTTCGCGTATTATGAGCTTCATGTTAATTCAAAATTTAGTCCCTTTGTGGGGGATGTACAAGAAGAAGTGAACCGATATATTCCATTTTCACAGCAGATCTTGTGTTAGTAGAAATATTGGGATGAGTGTAATTTGAAGACAATCGGACTTGGACTTTGGATTTTATTAGAGTTATAATTATTCAAAATCTTGACCCTATGTGGGTGAGGTATCCATTTTCGCACCTAACCCGGCACTGATGCAAATATTAGGATTTACTAAGTTGGAGCAGGATCGGAATATCGTTTCTCTTTTTTTGCAGTAAAATATATATATATATTTTTTGAAAATTTCGACCTTTTGTGTGGGAGCTACCAGAAGGAGAGGGCCGATATTGCCAATATCCGAACTAGATCTACTGTTGATAATAATATTACGATGTGGCAAGTTTGGACCAAATCGGATAATCCAAATGTCCTGAAATGGATTTGGCCCAAAGAGACCTAGGGTCTAAAACCATTATTTCGATGAGGCACGTTTGGGCCGTATCAAATGGCCATATGGCTGTAGTATAAAAAATGTTGTGCTGGAAGAATTAAAAAAATACATTTCAATCAACTTTTTTTTTTGTCGATAAACAGTTTTATTTTAACACGCAAACATCAAATTATGAATTAAAGCATTTAGATTTTACGTAATTCGCTCAAATTCAATCATGATTCATATAATTTATTATTTTTTAATTTGCATTGCTTTTGATTCATATTTTTTCATGTCGTCTATATTCCAAACCATGGTACGATTGTTAATTGGTTTGCGGGGCTTTATTAAATAACGTAGATGATTCTTATCCAATGCATTGTCCTAAAAAAGGAATATTAAAAAATATATTCAAAATGGACAAATAATTTTATTAAAAATACCTGATTAATTGTTGCACTCATTCCATCATCCTCGGCGGATAATTTTTCTGGTTGTCGGGGTAGATTTAAATCGAAAAATATTTTCACAAATATAAAGTAAAAACATTCGGCTATGCAAATCACGCTGAAGCCAACCATTAAACTCATGATGCCACCAGTTTGAGCTATCAAGAAATTTTCAAATTATTTACATTCTCCACAACAGAAAAATATTTTAAAAACCACAAATACACATATAGTCTCCAGACGTGGCATTCAAAAAAAAAAAAATAAATAAATAAATAAATAAGTAATAATAAAATAATTATTGTAAGTTACAACACAAAACCTTCAAGGGAAACAAAATTGTACAATTAATCTTAAAATATTAAAAAATAATAAAATTATAACTTCTGAAAACAGCAGACGGTAGATCCAGATCAAAACTTGAATAACAATTTAAATATCTTCAACTTACACATAAACTCCGTCAATCCTGTGTACGGTGCTTTGGTATAGCCACGAATATTATTGAATTTATAGAAAAATGTTACCATTGCCAAATCCTCATTCATTTCCTCCAGCGTGCGATTGTGAAAAAACTTATCCGGCAAATAGTAATCATGTCGCGAAAATGACGATGAAAACATATCCGGCGAATGGGTTATTTCATGACAACCAGCTAGACAATTACTTTTGCATTCACCCACACTCGAGACCATAAAGAGACGTTCACATCGTGCCACACAATCCATGTCCTTGAGAAAGCAAAGAGTGGCATTTGGATATATTAGAGGTAAATAGTAGGGTAAACAGCCGCATATTGAATAGACCAACTCAGCATCACATTCCGATACACAATTTTGGCGTGTATAGAATTTGAAGTAGCGTAGCGTTTTTTCATTGCTATAATAACACTGCCTATCCTTGGGCGCCACCTGACGCAGTGTAGCGGATGGTTCGTTTATTTTTGTTGTGATGCGTACAACTGTCTGTTTGCCAATGGTTATGGGTAGGCCTGATTCTCGAATGAAGGGGAAATCGACGGGATTGTGCAGCATCATCTGGTTGTGAAAGGTTTCAAAATTTAAGGGTTTTAGGGAAAACGCAAATAGTTCTCAAAAATTATTAAAAAAAAGGTAAAGACAGTAAAAATTTAAAAACAAGGACAGAAAAATATTGAAATAATATTTATATAAAAAATATGTTTGGGAAATACTAAAACTGTATCAAAAAAAAAAAAAAAAAACTTTCGTCGTAATAAGGCAACATTTTCAAAAATAAAGTTTTTATTCCAAGAAACTTCTAAATTGAAAAAAACACACACACACAAATGGAATTGCTATTTATTTACGCATTAAAAATAATGATCTTGAAACAATATTTTTGCATTTTATATATAAAATATAAATAGAACTATTTTTAACTTGTTGTAAATCTTGAAGGCATAAATGAAATAAAACGCGTTTAATGTGTTATTACCATCACAAAAAAAATAAATAAATAAATAAATAAAAAATTAAAAAAAATACTGAAAAAATATTTTTGAACACAATTAGAAAAAAAAAATAATTTCAACGTCTTGGAGATTTTGAAAAAAAAAAAAATTAAATACATATTTTCGAAAATTTTTCACAAATATTTAAAAAAAGGAAGCAAATGCTATAACTATAATATCTGCAGATATGGAACCGTTTTGACCCGAATGAAAATTCCCTTAAGAAACATTCCCATATCTACTACATAATAAAAACAAATGTTGAACCGAATTGCTCCTCATCATAGATCTAGAATCAATATTTTCCAAAAACATACGTCTGGCTTTTCACAGCTATTTTGGATGCACCTTCCAAGTTTAATTTTGGAATTTTTTCCACTTCACCAGCCAAATATTATCCAATGGTCATTAAAAATACTAGTCTTCAGCGCTGTCCTAAACTCCAACCTCATAAAAAAATCCATGAATTTAGGTCCTTTATTGAGAACTGTAGGATTTTAGGTGCATTTCAATCCCTAAATACTTTTCAAACATCTTCCAAAGCAATAGGCTTCTATTCTGTTCCTAATCCTACCCCATGTTAAATTTCGTGAATATCGGTCGATAATTGGGACCTGTATATAATAATTCCAATATATAGTGTTATAAGGTGAAAAAAATGTTACAAATCTCATGCGATAGTAAATATGACAAACAAGTGAAAAAGCGGTAAGTTCGGGCGGGTCGTGAATAAGCTGTAAGTTTGCACCGGAATGGTGGAGGGTATTCACACTCCACCATTTTGGAGGAATTTAAAAATCTTAAAAATACGTTGAAAAATACTGCTAAAATCATAAAAATATCGAATACAAAGACCTGGACCAGCAAACATTATTTTTGAAAACAATTAGAAACAATTATAGTCTGGGAAATTTTAAAAACAAAAAAAAATACTAATATATATCTTTGGGAAATTTTCAAAAATAATTTAAAAAACATTCAATAAATAAATAAAATTAAACTAATATTATGAAGTCTTAAATAAAAAATAAATAAACATAAAATTATGTTTAAATATTTATTTCTCTGACCTACCTTGAAACCCGCACCATTCGTTGATGAACAGTAATAATTTTTCACATCTGCATTGAGAATCACCGTTAAACCCTTCGATGCTCCAGCACCTTTTTGATAAAAAAGTATTTTTTATTTCATTTTACTAATGCATACTTTTCGCATTTTTTTTGTGTAGATTTTTTTACCTGGCGTTTTCCTGGGATAGAACCTCTTTGGTAGATATTCTTGACCATAGCCATTCTCGAAGGTCCATTTGACTGGCAAAGTTGTTCGACCATTCGTTGCAGTAAAATCACGTATGAATCTGTATCTAAGGAAAGGAGGAACTTATGTTCAGGGCAAATTGCAAATTAAATTGAGAAAGAAAATCACAAGTCTTTCTTTCACAAAAGTCTTTAAAATCTTACCGAGGAAGAAATTAGTAAAATCATTGGCCAATGGACCCACATAAAATTTTTCTGTTCAGAGCTATTTCCACGTCTCCATAAATCCTAGAAGCCAACACTGACCTAGAAGCCAACATTGACCTAAATATCAAATTTCACAATTTCAAGTCTCTCCCTTAACCCAATATCAAATTTCGTATTATTTAGTACATATATCCAAAACAATCCATATCTCTTCATCCTAGATACCAGCAGTAATCCCGAACTAGTACCATTTAGTACTCTTCGAACAATTATAGAAGACTTTTACAATATCACCACCAGATACCAACAAAGACCTCAATATCAAATTACAATACACACTTCCAAAAAATTGTCGATATCTCAATACCAGATACCAACAATTACGTAAATATTAAACTTCAGAAATTTATCTCTATATTTATCTATATTTAGCACTTTTTGTACAATTAAAACCTCTAAATCTAAAACATAGATACATGGAGCAATCGAAATATTAAATTTCTAATTGTTTTCTTTATCCCTTAATATCGGCATTTAAGTTAAATGAAAATTTTAAGATTTCAAAATTGATTTTTTCTCTATATATTTTTTTCTCTATATGCCCATCATCAGTTGGTTCAATTAATACTTACTTGGCTTTGAATAAATAGTAAGGATGTAATTGATTGAAAACACAGCACAGGCCCTCGTCCAGTAGAATTTCACGGAACAAATCGGTACACGTTTCTTGAACTTCACCGAACTTACAATAGACGATCATATCTTCACAAGATTGGGCATTCTAAAATTAATTAAAAAACAAGTAAAAATGCAGCTAAGTTCAGCCGAGCCGAACTTTTAATAGCCTCCACCATTTGTAAGGAATTGGAAAAACTTTAAAACAAGTTAAAAAGTATCAGTCGGTTTTGCCGACAGATGTATACCTCCTCAGCCAATGTAGGTTATTTATATATATTTTGTTACGTTTATTTAAATTGTTGACCATCTATAGAGTAGATTCCGAAGGAATGGGCTAATTTTGAGATACCAGAAGTATTCCATTTTCATACTGCATCTAATACGGATAAAAATGTTGGTATCGCCAAATATTCAAAAAAATGTATATCCAATTTTATGCGAAATCATAAATTCCACATTCACCTCAGGTTTCTGGTTGAGAGAAATACCGCCGACTCGTTTTGCAACTTATGACAGATTAAAAAACGCTAAAGGATATATATCATCTACGCAGATATATATCATCTTCACAACAGATCTTGTGTTAGCAAAAATGTTTGTATATGTGCAATTTGAAGAGAATTGGATGCTCATTTCGGATTTAATAATCGTTTTTGTTCTTCAAAACTTTAACCCTTTGTGGGGGAGGCACCAGAAGAAATGGTCCAATCTCTACCATCTTTATAGCAGATATTGTGTTGATAGAAATGTTGAGAAGCGCCATAGTCTGAATGGAATCGGATTTGAATTTCGCGTTTTATGACCTTCATGGATATTCAAAATTTAGACCCTTTGTGGGGGAGGTACCAGAAGGAGTGGACCGTTATATCCTATCTTCATAGCAGATCTTGTGTTAATAGAAATAATATGATATGTGAAATATGAAGAGCCCGGATGTTTATTTCGGATTATATGATCGTTATGGTTTTTCAAAACTTTGACCCTTTGTGTGGGTGGTACCAGAAGGAGTAGGCCGATATGTTCCATCTTCACACCAAATCATCAAAATACTGAATATATATGGGGCTATAAAAAAACGGACGGACAGATAGACAAACAGGCAGACGGGCAAACAGACCGACGGACAGCACTAAATCGACTTAGAATTTTACAATGATTAAGAATATATAAACTCTGTTGGGTCTGACATAAGTATGTCGAGGAGTTACAAACGGAATGACAAAGTTAATATACCCTCCATAGAATGGTGGAAGGTATAAAAATATATATTTAACACCAAAATCATAACCATCATATTTTCAAAATACTTACATCGACAATAAAGTTGGGAAGTGTATCCTTTTCTGAACGTGGAGTAAAATTTTGAAATTGCGTATAGTTATGATCTTTAAAACATATTTTTTGTAAAAATGCATAGTCCGGCGAATCTCTGGAAAATATTAAATGTATTTGCTCGAGGTAAGTGCAATTCAGCAAAAAAATACTTATTTCAAATTAGGTTACTTTATCATAACTCAGGTCATGTGACTCGAAATAAGTAGCTATTTTTTAGAGGATTAAAAGTATTTTATATGAGTGCTTATTTATCGTTTTTTGGTGACTTTGGTGAAAATAACTACTTATTTCGAGTGGCATATCCTTGATAAAAAAAATGCATTGATAATCTAATTTGTAATGAGCATTTTTTCCAAAAATATCTAATAGAAAATAACTTACTTTGGAAAATGTTCAACTTTGCTACGCAGTACCTGATTCATATTGCAAATAGTTACGGTTGGAAAGGGTAGACTGGCAATGGCCGTTGGTTTGGAACTTAAGCTGATGATGACCGGGGTATGTTGCCATTTATTTAGAAAATAAATGGCCATGTAGAGGCCACTTATAAAGCAAATCAAAAATGATATCAAATAATACATTCTGAAAAAACACACACCATATTTAGATTTAATGAAACTTATTTCACATCGAACTATACCTCTCCCAAACACACCGATGCGAATCACTAACATATTTCAAACCATTCAATGCTGTCTCCAAAAGAAATCGCTGCGAATTGGTCTTTAAATACACATGAATTGGTAATTTTTCAATTGTTTTTCTTTTTTCATTTTCTTTCAATATTTTGCTGGAATTTTCCATATCACTGTGAACTGTTCTGTCAATCACTTAACTGAATTGATTGAAATAACCGATATCTTATTTATTCAATGACCTTATATTTATATGAGGTCCTTGTAATAGTTAAGTTTTATTAATTAATACCAGTAAATTGTTGTGAGTAGAGTTTAATTAAATATTAACACCAAAACATTTGTATAATCAATTACCATATGAACAATTGATATCGTAATTATGTTAAGAAAAATGTTAGTGGACATACATTATGCAACATAATTACATACTTTGGAAAGTCTGTCTGGACTTAAGAAAACATATTATTACTGTCTGCTAAGATTAATTAAAACACCATTCCATAATTACCAAAAAATGGAGTGTAGTCGACACGGCGTCAAGTTCTTCCATAACTAGTCGTTTATTCGTCTACCATTAAATGTTTGAAAATGAGGAGTTTGCGGAGGCTAATTCAAGAGTGACTATTTGAATCTCATGAGGAAGCTTCGTAATTAGGTTAGATGGTTTAAACAAAGGATATGTGCGAAGATTTTGTAAAGGGGTTATGTCTTTTTATACCCTACAACACTATGTGTTGGGGGTATTATAAGTTTAATTGGACCAAAAATTATGTAACACCATGAAATATTGGTTTCCCACATAGGAAAGTATATATGGGTCTTCCTATCTCGCCGAGCTTAGTCGATCTAGCTATATATGTCCGTCCGTCTGTCCATGTTAATTTGTAATCACTCTACAGGTCGCAATAATGGCCCGATCTTCACGAAATTTAGAATGGAGGTGGGGCTAGGGTCAGAATAGAATAGATGATCGCATAATATTTAGGGGTTGAAATGGACCAAAAACTGAAAAAAAAAAATCCTGATTTTGCAGTTGCTCTACAGGTCGCAATTATAGAGCAATCAGAGCGGAAGCTAGCATGGGGCTAGAGCTTAGGACTGGGCAGAAACCTTCCAATTTTGATGGTCATCGGGTAATATTTAGTGGGTGAAATAGACCATAGCATTTGTGTTAAATAAAAGTCAAATTTTCCACTAAACCGCGAATATTTTTAATCCCGGCGAAATCAAAAATAGACGAACAGATCAATTCTGACCGTTACGTAGATGCCGATAGTATATATATCGGATATATATATAGCGAAATATATACAATGTGTATATACAAAGGAATGGGAAGTTAGCCAGAATGCTTATATCTCAAGAAGGGCTAGACGGATTTTGACAAATTTTGTCAATTCAGAATGTCCTCTTGGCATAAAAGAAGCAAGTCTAAAAAAATCACATAAAAAGGTATCAAATAAAAGTTTTTATAGGGAATTTGTGAGTCTTAAATCATACCATCTATGATTATAGTTATAATTTAAAGTCCAATGGAACCAATATATGAGAGGAATATCCTTCTCTAAATCTATTTCTACTAAATTTGCCGAGGCATTTGTGCCTTTTCAATTCGGGTTTGTATTTCCCATTTGGTGCACAATTAACTTGAAATCGGATAAAGATATATATGAGAGCTATATCCAAATCTGAACCGATCTCGATAAAATTTGGGAAAGGTATATCTGAGTTGCATTTGATATATTATTTATGCAAAATTTCATCTGAATCGGGCAATAAATGCGACCTGCACTTTGTTTACAAAAATACATGGACAGACGGACGGACATGCATAAATCCACTCAGAATGTGATTCTATGCAGATCATCAAAAGGAAATGTGGCTCTTTCTCGCTTCCTTCTCTATGTTAGAAACAAATGCACAAATACATAATACCCTGACCACAGTGTGATGTAGGGTATAAATCGGAATGGCAAATACATAGTATAATATTCTCTTATTTTTTTTTGTGTAGAATAAAAATGCTTATATTTTTGTACTCACCTTTTGAATGCCAGACACAAATTAATGGATCAACCTGAAAATAAAAAAATAATAACACAATTAACAATTTTTTTATAATTAATGTAAATTGTTAAATAAAAAATGTTCTAGTGTAAGGAAGTTTCTATAAAATGCTCTGTTTGGTAGAAGCAAACGATAAAGATCCATAGGTCCTTACGTTGAAGGTGACCAATTCGAAAAAAATTGATTGACATTTCTTTCATTCAATAAAATTTAAAAATTATCGCGTTTGTATTCGTTAATTTTTTTTTATTTCACCCTGTACATGGACAGAGTTCTGTGAAGATCCTCAAAAATAAATATGGGCCTATCTCGTTTCCTTCTCCATGTTACAAACAAATGCACAAAGACATAATATCCTTATCACGATGTGGTGTAGGGTATAAATATTTTCCAATCACCCTACCATAACCTGAGAAAGAAATAATTTTTATTTTATTTCGAAACTATTTAATAAATTTTAAATTTTTCTAAGCGGTGATTCTGTTGTCATTATTATTTTACCACAAGTGTATGGGTTGCTTTGCTTTTAAATAGTCTCGAATATATTATACTACGTTTTAAAACAACACTGCATCATTTAATACAACTGAGCATATTTACGCTCTCTCAATGAAAATTACACTGATCTACCCCTCCCAAACTGTGTTTCCCCTTTTCAACAAAACTAGAAAACAATAAGCTTTCATTCTCTCATTGTACTCAATTTTATCCAACAAACACGAAAAGTTCATTCATTATTTTTATGAGACCACAACAACTAACACTGGGTGCCAGACAGCCAGCCAGCTGCTTCGACACGCTTTTAGTTATTCGTAGTTCGTCGTTGTGGACGTTTTACCCAGCAGACAGTGGTCCGTTGAAATATTACAACACGCAATTGTTTTTGATTCGTGTGTGTGTGCCTTTAATAGCCGGTAAATAAAAAAACAAGAAACAACAAAAGATAAAAACAACGAATAAACAAAGCACAAAGGAAAGCCAGTAATAGACCGTCCGACCGACCAATAAATGTTCGACGGCAATATCAGAAAATAAAGAAGAAAAAAAAATAAGAAACGAAAACATATTTGTGCATACATACGATTTGAGAAAAGAAGAAAAAAAAAAAACAATTATTGCCTACGTAGTATATTTTTGAAATTCGAAGAAGAAATTTCAAGTGAAATAAATAGCCAAACTCAGAAGATTTCTAAGGAATTCCAGTGATCATTGAAGTCCAAGACAATTTCACAAGTGCCACCACCACAGTATCAGATACGGTGGGTTCCTCTTTTGACAGCTATTTGTTGATATTTAATGCATTCAGTGAACGCCCTTTTGTCTACGGAGAAATGTTTGTCTTTGCTTCTTTTTTTTGTGACATTTAATTGCTAAAGTTTATGTCATAAACAGGTTTTGAAATTTTGTGTGTGTGTCTAGGTATTCCATTTGTTTACTTCACGCATAAATTATGAAATCAAATGTTTTTGTCTAACTTTAAATTAATGTACAAACATATTATACGAATATTCAAGTTGTGGTCTAATTGTGTGAATCAGTCGAGATTTCATGACGTGGTACAGTGTATTTTTTATAAGTTGGTCTTAATTGGAGAATTTATCACATAAACTGGAATATCGAAAATGTTCTAGATCGAGTTTTGGATTTATGGTGATTTATATTTGTCTCTCCATAATATTTGAAATTAAAAAATTAGATTCCAAACCCGATTTCATTCATAATAAAAATGGAAGATTCTGAATTTTGTACGGAATTTTTGTGGAATCGTAGTAACTAAGAAAAAATAATTAAACAAGTAAGCAAAGGCTATAGTCGTGCAGGGCCGACCATGTGATACCCTACAACACTAAAATATGTTCGAAGCCCCCTTATATCCACATCCATTTTGAAAGATTTGGTTTTTGAAATAATGTCAAAGAGCCCCGCCCAGAGGTTGCCCTTGGTTTTTTGATCCGGAGAATTTGGACAATATTTACGCACTCCGTAGTGTTGTTAAGTAATCAAAACAATTTCACACGAAGGTTGTGGTCCATTTTACAGTCATCCAAAATGCTAGAGTTCTCCCCTGTTTTTATCTCTCTTCTGATGCGAAATTCCGTGTCGATTAGTTTTCAATTGTGGCCCATACAGCGACTACAAAATTAGAGAAAATTTTTTGTCCATTTGCACCTATAAATGTACATCTTAAGAACAATAGGCTTTAATTCTGACCCTAACCCATAATTGCGATATAAATATAATACCTTCAAAACTTAATGTTGGGGGGTGTACAAATTTAGAAAATTTACAATTCAAAATTGTAAGTCAAATTGAAATAATCGCATGCGATAAAAAATATGACAAGAATTAAAAAAAAAATGGAACAAAAAATATTCACTTTTTTATTGGTATATTTTTCCGCGATTTTGTTAGATTTTATCGTTTTCTGGCAAAAGACAATTCCGAATTGATGGGAATTGTGAAAATCGGCTCAGTGGTTTTTGATTTATAAGCAGAATAAATAAGATCAATTCTTTTACATATATATTGTACCTATTTTTCTACATATCCGATTTCTTGGCTTTTAGCATCACTGTAATGGTCAGAAGTGATCTTTTAATATATTTGTGATTTGGCTGGGGTTGAAAATATTCGCGGTTTAGTGGGTTTACCCGCTAATTATTGTCCGATTGGCGCTTAAACTTCATAATTGTGGCCTATAGAGCAACTGCAAAATCAGGAATTTTTTCTGTTTTTGGTCCATTTCAACCCCTAAATGTCGTGCGATCATCTCCAAAAACAATAGGGTTCTATTCTGACCATAACCCCACCTCCATTTTCAATTTCGTGAGGATCGGTTCATAATTGAGACCTGTAGCTTGATTACAAATTAACATGGACAGACGGACGAACGGACGGACGGACATACATAACTAGATCGACTCAGCTCGGCGAGCTAGGAAGATCCATATATACTTTCCTATGTGGGAAAGGTGTTACATAATTTTTGGCCCAGGTGTGTTACGAGGTGTTACATAATTGTTGGCCCAATCAAACTTATAATTCCCCCAACACATAGTGTTGTAGGGTATAAAAAGTTAAATTAGGACGGGGACGATCTCTATAATACCCTCCACCATTTGGAACGAATTTGATAATTCTCAAAAAATAAAATCTGTTAAAATTTCTGTTATAATCTTAAAAATACCGAATATACCCGTTATATTAGGGTGTCTCTGCGACGACGTAGACCTGCATAGGAAACTTTTGTCATAAGCCATTACAATATTCAAATGCGAAACTTGAAAAGAAAAATCGGTGAATGATGTAGCTAAAAAAATCAAAATACCAATAAAAAATCGGGAGGTGTGGTTATATGGGGGCTATACGAAGGCGTGGACCTCCTTTACGAACTTCAAATACCAAATGTGAAGCTCTTCCGGTGAATAATGTCGCTAAAATCATCAAAATACCGAATATGGACCTGTCATAGGCTGTAGTATCCGTGACGAACTTCAAATACTTAATTTAAAACATTTTCGTTGAATAATCTCGCTTAAATCACCAAAATTCCCAAAAGTAGGGAGGTACCACTATTTGGGAGCTATACCAAAACGTGGACCTACATTGCCCTTTTTCAATAGCAAATTCAATGTCCTGCGGACATAATATACATTTGAGTCTATCAATCTACTTCATTTCGTTCAGAAGCTGATTTCCACAGACGGATAGACCGACGGATATCACTTAGTCGACATAAAATTTCATGCTGATAAAGAATATGTATACTTTGTATTTTTTTTGTATATTTCGAGGTGTTACAAACGGAATGATAAACTTAATATTCCCTCTATACTATGGCGGAGGCTTTACACATAAAAGAACAGATGTTGAAGGCTTAACTTAACTTTAGTAAAAACTCTCGGTTTTTATTTAATTTTTTTCCAGAGGCTGGTATATCTGCACCTTTATTCCGGGAAAGCATTTTTTTCTTGGGGGCGGACCCGAAAGTCCGGCACCAAACAGGACCAAATTTGTAAAAACTTTGAATCACATAGCTGGGTTTGGACATATTTCAAGCCTGACCAGCTACGCGAACCAAAATTATTATAATATACCGGTCTTCTGCCGGTACTTAAGATTTTTCCCTCTGGGGAACTAGAATTTTTGGAACAACTCTAGATAAACTCTCGGATTTTTTTGTTTTTGAAATTCTTTCCGGAGGTTGATATTTGCATCCTGATCCAGGGGAAATATTTTTTTTTTTTGGGAGGGACCCGGTTTTTTGATCCATTGGTCCGGATCAAAAACCCAGGTCAGACCCCGACCTACTAAACAGATAGAGACAATATAGGTATCATTTGAAATATAGGTATATAGGTCCGTCTCCTTTTAGAAAAAAATGTAGTTCGCGTAGCCGGTGTTGGACATACCCAGAGGTATATATATCAAGCCCCAGCCGAAGGCCGTCTACCCAAAACAACATTTAATTTAGAAAAAAATATATTCCATATTGGTTTTGTGGGTCCGGGACTTTCGGGTCAAATATCCGGGAATCCGTCACCAAAAAAAATCTGGGAGTTTTTATTAAACTAGAGTTAAGTCCAGTATTTTGTATTCCTCCACCATACATAGTGTGGAGTGTGTATTAAGATCGTTATTCCGTTTGTAACCCGTCTAAATAATAATTGTAGACCTAACCTAACCTATATTCTCGATCGGGGTAAAATTCTAAGACGAGTTAGCCCTGTTCGTCCGTCTGTTGTAATCACGTTAGAGCATATACTTTGTACATATCAGTATTTTGTCTGCAGGCAGGTCAAGTTCAAAGTTGGGCTACATGGGTCCACGATATCGTATAAGCCTCATATATAACAGTACCTCCCGATATTCTGTATTTTGATGATTTTTCCATTTTTCAATGGAACTCCGAAAATCCACACAAGAATTTCCTTTTGAGTACTTTACCCTCTTGAAGAGGATTTTTTTTATAGGTCCACCACATCGTATAGCCTCCATATAACGATACCTCCAGATATTCCATATTTTGATGATTTTAGCGACATTATTCATTGGAATTTTTTAAAATTTCGTATTGGAAGTCAGTAATGGGTACTACAACCCATGACGGAAAATTCTCTATGCAGCCACGTCTTCATATAGCCCACATACAAAAGCGCTTCCCTTTATTCGGTATTTTGACATTTTTGAGCGGAAATGATTCAAATTTCGTATTTGAAGTTTGTAATTGGTACTACGGCCTTTGACAAAAATTTCGTATGCATGTCTTTGTATAGCCCCATATAGCGGTATTTATTTAAAGGGTATTTTCCAACGATAATTGGTACTATAACAAAAAATTGCGTTTGTCAGGTCCACGTCTTCGTATAGCCCAAATATATCGACAACTCCCACATATATATTCGGTATTTTGATGATCTCACGGAAATTAACAACCGGAATTGTTTCAAATTTCGAATTTGATATTCTTAATGGGAACTACAGCCTTTCAAAAAAAAAAAAGACTTCGTATACCGGTCTTTGTATAGCTACATTTAACGGCATTCAACCGATTTTCGGTATTTTGATTATTTTAGCGACATTGTTCAACGGAATTGTTTCAAAATCGTATTTGAAGGTCCTAATGGGTACTACAGCCACTGACACAAAAATTTTCGTATGCAGGTCTTTGTATAGCCCCATATAACGGTATTTATTTAAACGGTATTTTCCAACGATAATTGGTACTATGACAAAAAATTGCGTATTCAAGACCACGTCTTCGTATAGCCTCCATATAAGGACACCTACCGATATTCGGTAGTTTGATAATTTCAGGGAAATTATTAACCGGACTTGTTTCAAATTTCGTATTTGAAGTTCGTAATTGGTACTACGGCATTTGAAAAAAAAAAAAACTTTATATACCGGTCTTTGTATAGCCACGCCATTCAACCAATTTTCGGTATTTTGATAATTTTAGCGACATTGTTCAACGGAATTATTTCAAAATCGTATTTGAAGGTCCTAATGGGTACTACAGCCTTTGATACAAACATTTCGTCTGCAGGTCTTTGCATAATTTCATATAAAGGAATTCATTTAAAAAGTTATTTTCCGCCGATTTTTTTTTTAATTTTCAAGTTCCTTTTAAGTGGTGTATTTTTCTCTTGTTTACCTTATTAATTGAAATATACGCTCCGGTGACATAGGTTGAACATTGATTTTAAATTTATCAGGAAGGAAAGCTAAAGATTTTATTTGTTGAAGAATTCTTACA